AAAAAGCGCTCTGGCTACCGAAAGACTAACCGCTTCACGTATGATTTCTAAAACCCTATCGTACAATTTTGAAAAAAAGTTCCGTAATTTTGATCCATCAATAATATATGTATTTAGTATCTGCGCCCCGCGGATTTCCACGATTTAAAGTAGCCTATGTGTTATTCCTGGACGTCAGCTTCCTTTATACAAAATTTTATCAAAATCGGTTCATTTATCAATGAATAACATATGTACATTAATACATACTATAAGACGCGAAGGTCAACAATCATTTTTTGTAGTGTGACGATGAAAATTGGAGTATTTATATAGCTCTGTGCATATTTTTTGCTAACAACTTACTTTTTCAAATAAACAAAGTTAAATTAAAGCACAGATCAAATCGTCAAATTACATTTAGGTACTCGTATTTTATGCACTCGGATGTATATTTTGGACAGATATGGACAGGGATTGATTCAAATAATGAACAAAAAAGTTTTATGTAAAACGAGTTTTATTTCTTCACGAAGATGTAAGGTTTTCTGCAAAAAGAACAGTTTTATTAAGAAATTTAAAAAATGATTTTAGTACCAACACATATCATAACAAACAACTTACTCGTGAGTGCTTATGAACATTTTGTTTCTGAAACACGAAATAGTTTTATAAAAGATAATTAAGAAATGACGTAAAATAAAATAAAAAACATCTTCACGACAAAGCTAAAAGAGAGAAACGTAATGTTTTGCCTCTTTAATTCACCAATTTCTTTTTGTAGTAGGTAACTTTTTTTCTATTTTATCATTTTTCATCCGCTATTTACTATCTACAATTAATTTCAAACTACACATTGTTTTTTATTCTTATTTTCATTTTGATGAACAATATTAATTATCGTCACTATATTGCACTAAAACTTCTCAACCCGCTGACCGCTATCAAAACAAAATTAAACATTTAAACATATTGACATATATCACGATACATAGGTACAGAAGTTCTTTCTGTGACTTTAAAAACTAATTCCTCTAAAATAAATATAATATGTACAATAATATAATACAATATATATCACCCCTGGTCTCGTGGCCCCATCACCAACCAACTGTTATCCATCGCCGGTCTCCTCGTAGTTACTTCATTACGAACCCGATAGACCAATTCCAAGAGTGAGTCTTCATCTTCATATTTCGTTTCTTTGAATTCTATGTCAGCGGTTTCCTTAAAACATCTTTATTGTAATGTTATCGTTATAATAATTCACGCTTTCTGACGTTGTAATTGTACAATATAATTCTTCTATTTCATTTTATTATGATTTGATACCAAGTAAAATATTTGCATTCAAAACATCCTAGTATAATAGGAATCTATAAAGATATATGTATAAGTAATGTCTTTTCCGAACGAAAAAAGCTGTTATAGTCCCTTATACTTAAGCTGAACTTTGCATTGCATGTGTGAGTGAAAGTAAAAGTAGAGTAAGACAAAAAACTTTTAGAATTCAATTTTATTATATTTTAAATAGATACATAACATAAGTGCTATAAAATGAGCAAAACTTGTAAAAGGCCAGATGGAAATATTATGAATATTATAGAAAAAAATATATTATTAATTAATAAAATTAAAAAAAAAACTATGTAAATTCTTCTTTACTTGACATTGTGTTTTCAACATTTGATTTTGCTAAAATACAAAGGGTGAAGTGAGGAAGGTGCGGGGAAGAGTAAAAGCAGTATAAACTGGCTCAAAACTAGAAAATAACGTGGCATTCAAAAATTTGACATCACACCTACACTATCCGTGTACACTCACACAAATGCAAAACTCAGCTTAAACCAAACGCACTATACAAGTAAAAGTCATTATGGGTATTAAACTTTAATAATTTACATTATACAGGGTGACTGGTGAATTACTATCGATACTTTGACGATCATATATGACAATATAAAAATTAATATAACATAAATATTAATAAACTTCTAAGTAAAGTTAACCAAAAGTTATGTAATTAATTACGCATCGTGTGAACACCCTAAAGATTAGGTATACACACACGCGCACACACACACGTGTGGCGGCGTAGTGTTGTATCAGCACGCCGCCACACGCGTCCACGCTTGGAACACTTGGAACGTGTCCACGCTTTATTTATTTATACGGAAATTTGGTCAAAAATTAAGTACCTATTTTTTTACATAATTCGAATCAGAATCATGTACCGAGTATTCTCCTTAAATATTGATAGTAATTCACCAGTCACCCTGTATATTAAATAATAAAATAAAAAAAAACGATGTAAATTCTTCTTTACTTGACATTGTGTTTTCAACATTTGATTTTGCTAAAATACAAAGGGTGAAGTGAGGAAGGTGCAGGGAAGAGTAAAAGCAGTATAAACTGGTTCAAAACTAGAAAATAACGTGGCATTCAAAAATTTGACGTCACACCTACACTACCCGTGTGCACTCACACGAATGCAAAGCTCAGCTTAAACCAAACGCACTATACAAGTAAAAGTCATTAGGGGTTGTCCATTAATCACGTGATTTTTTTTAGCATTTTTTAACCCCCCCGCCCCCATTGGTGATACGTAGTGAGGTTTAAGACCACCCCCCCCTCCCCCTTCTCAACATCACGTGTATTTTTAGTACCTACAACGAATCTTAAAATTTTCTGAATATTATCTTAATTTAAATACAGGTATAAACTATAATCTTATTTTATTCTGAAATTAAGGACCATAATAAATTAATATTTGTTTAAAAATCGCGCGTTAGACGAAAAAATAAATACACGAGATATCTTACTACACCCCCCCCCTCCCCCTTGTGATATTTTCGTGATTTTTATCAAAACCCTCCCCCCCCCTTTTAAGCCTCACGTGATTAATGGACAGCCCCTTATGGGTATTAAACTTTAATAATTTACATTATATATTTTTAGAGCAAATTTATTTTCTGTTCACTAACAGCGATACCTCAAGGACAAACAATATCCATTAATAATATTCTTACACGCAATTCCCTCCATAATATAGATCTATTTAACAAAAATCATAAACAGTTGAGATCTTTGCAAGTGTCCATTGTTCTATTTTTTTTTTTTATATTTAGGTAGCTACTTGCTACAACTTAAAACAAACTATAAATAGTACCATTACATATGTACATAAAATGTTACATAATTTATCCAGACTTCGTAATATTATTTTGTTAATGTATCGTGAAAAGTAAATATAATCAGTTTTTATAATTTCCTCACCTCGTAGGGTACCGTGACCATAACAGCTCCAAGAACACTTGGCAAGTAGACTACCTGTTACATACATTACATAGTAGGTACATATCAACAATAACAATACAAAATAGAAATATAGGTAATTTTAAAGATTTAACCCAACTCTATAGTAAGCGAAAATTATCATTTTTTCGCGGAAGTCATTGGCATATTAATTCAGTCGTTCAAAATAACAACAGAAAGTCTTTAAAAGATTCTCACCGACATAAGAAAATATGAAGACAAACAAGAGCCGTGAAGTGTCGAGTACATCGTGACGACTGAGCGAATATACATGTGACGGGGAAATTAATTAAAAATTGAATTATCAATCGACTTATCTCGGAAAATTTATTACGAATGTCCGTGAAACATCAGCTATCTAACAAAAAACTTATAATCGTTATTAGTAAATATGTTTCATAAAAATAATAGATAATAAGGTGGTAGAGCCTAGCTGTGGTCAAGTTACTACAGCTCGAACATGGTCTGTCTCGACCGGGAAGTACCACCCTCCCACAGAAGATCAGCGTGAAGTAGACTTTAGTGGCTGTGTTTCGTCTGATGAGTGAGAGAGTCGGTTGCCCTTTCAGAAGAGGGAGATTTGTGTCAATGATCTTTTTACATTTAATAGATTAAAACTATACCAAACTATTACATATTGTTTTACGACTTTGGATGAAATTGATCACTTGAGTGTTACGTAACGTTTTGAGAAGGGAGGGGGGGGGGGCTACAGGAAAACGTTACTGTGCGTTACGAGTGGAAGGGGAGGGGGTCAAAAATTTTCGAAAATTGCGTTACGTAATACTTGAACGCTCCCTATTCCAGAAATATAAGATAAGATAGATAATTTCCTATCAATTTCTTATTTGACAAGCTCCTCTGTCGTAGTAGTCGGCTAAAGAATTACAGGCATTTACAAAGTTGAATAACCAGATTTAATTCTTGCAACCTATAAGAGCATATTTCTATTTGTAAATGTTATATTATATTAAGAAGGAAATAAAACTCATAGTTTTGGCAATATTTTATTACATACTATATCGTTACTGGTTATCTTACAACAGTATTCACACACACACACACACATACATACATACACGCCCACTCGTACATCACTCACACATACAAATTATATTGTATTACATCGTACAGTAAGAATTTACAAATCTGCGTTTGTTGAGTTATACACACAAACACACGCACACACGTATAATTAACACGCATCTCCGAACGTCAAGACAGTCCTTATTATAATTATGACAAAATATATAATAACAATATATGAGCATTTGTCTATACATTGATCTTATAAACTGTTATATAATCAGTGTGTGTGTGTGTGTGTGTACATTGTTTCTATTCTATTCCGTACAGTAGGTCCTTATTATTACTCACCTATCAACATGTACACTACATTATATTTCTGTTTCTGTCACACCTCATCCGTCGATCCATACAACCGTAGTATGTCGACCTCTAGTAGATAGTCCAAGTGTTAACTGTCAGTCAGTTGTAAACGTCATAATATCCTAGTGTCTGTATATCTCAGCGTAGAGGTGTACCGGTGTCATTACGTCCTCGTGTCATAGTGTCCTTGTGTCATAGTGTCTTATTGTCCTCCTGTCTTGGTATAATAATGTCATAGTGTCGTAGTGTCCTCGTGTCGTAGTGTCCTCGTATCGTATCGTCCTCTTGTCATAGTGTCCTCATGTCTCCCCCCGTGTCTACTTGTGCAGGCCGGCCCTCTTGGCCTCCAGCTCGTATATCAGTAAGCGCCACATCTTCACTATGAACACCTCCGCCTCCTCGTCCAACACCTATAACACACACACACGTTATATTATAATACAATACATAACATCGGTGAAAGTGCAAATCCACGTAACTAGCATTGGATAATATGTATTTTCATTGGAAGCAGATTATCAGAAGAAAGTTTAAGATGAAATATTTTCTATATTAAGGACTTTTAACCCTTTATAAGTTAGAGGCGATATTTTCCCCACCATGAATTAATATTTTTTTAAATCGATATTTTGTCCACCGGTCGTATTTTTTTTATTCGGGCAAGTTTTATGAGTGTCAATAGACAGTTTGACAATGAAAGGTTTGACAAATATATATTTATGTATACATATGTTTTTACTTCTAATATATACCCTTAACCATCATCAATTTTGTTTTTCCACTGTCCACTCCTTATGACCGTTAAAGGGTTAAGGTATTTTATCATAGTTAGTAGTAAATTGACCACTATATAATTACTAATCAGTCCGTACCATCTGCACGTCGTCCAGTATCCCCTGCGGCCGGCTGCCCGCCAGTACCTTGCTACATATGAAGTCCACGAGCGTGGGTTCCGGCTCCCCGATGTACTCTATGATCTTCTTGTTGATCCAGGGCCGTATCTTCTTGTCCATGAGCGTGTTGTCGATCTGTTCCGTGTCCAGTTCGTATCTGAACAGCTCCTCCTTCTGTGTGGGTATCTTATCTATCAAACTCTTTATATGTCTCCTCTTCTCCTCCGCACATTTGTTTTCTTCCGGTTTCTTTTTTTCTTTCTTCTCTTTCACTGTATCACATGTATGTATCAGTTTTATATTATAGTCCGTTAGACTTAAGCTGAGTTTTGCATTTGTGTGAGTGATAGTAAAAGTAGAGTTAGACAAAAAACTTTTAGAATTACATTTTATTATATTTTAAATAGATACATAACATAAGTGCTATAAAATAAGTAAAACTTGTAAAAGGCCAGATGGAAATATTATGAATATAATGGAAAAAAAAAATATTGATTCATAAAAATTTTGAAAAAACTATAAAAATCCTTATACACTTGACATTGCGTTTTCAACATTTGATTTTGCTACCACTACAAAAGGTGAAGTGAGGAAGGTGCGGGGCGAAGTAAAAGCAGTATAAACCGGTTCAAAACTAGAAAAGAACGTAGCATTCAAAAAATTGACATCACACCTACACTATCCGTGTGCACTCACACAAATGCAAAACTCAGCTTAAACCAAACGCACTATACTGTTTCATGAGCCAGTTCAATACTATCTATATATAATAGATCAACACTAGTATATACACGTGACTCCTCTCACCTCTATGGTCGTCGTCGTCAGCGAAGGCCGCCAGCACCCCGCGACGGTCACCTACGAACAAACCGAAGAATGTAATCTGTTCTTAGATGTGTGCGTGTGTGTGTGTGCGTGTGTGTTCATATATATGTGTGTCCGTGTGTGTACGTGTGTGTCTGTCTGTCCGCGTGTCTCACCTCTGGTCAGTTCCCTGGAGGGGCTGTGTCTGTTCCTGAAGCTGATACTGATGGGTGACGTGGCCTCGACCGGAGCTGACTGGACGCTCACCGGCGGGACCGAGCTCTGAAAACACACATATACATATATATGTATACATACTACATACATACATACATACATACAATATATATATATAATATAATACATACGTTGTACCGCTCGTGTGAGGGAGACGGCGGCCGGGGGGGCGTGCTGCCTCCGTCACTCTGGAAACATTAACATTACATTATTACCTTACAGCTTCTGTCTATATATTCTACTAATATTATTATTGCGAAAGTTTGTGAGTGTGTGTGTATGTTTGTTACTTCTTCACGCTCAAATGGCTGAACCGATTTTGATAAAATTTTGTATACAGGAAGCTTAAGTCCAGGAATAACACATAAGCCGCATTACATCCCGGAAATCCGCGGGTAACACAGCGGGGCGCAGCTAGTATATATATATCTATATACATATGTATGTTCCTGTGTCTATGTATGTGTGTGTGTCTGTGTCCGTGTGTGTGTGTCTCACTCCGTGTCGCGGCGGCGTGTCCCCGGCGGCGGGTGTCCGCGGCGTGTTCTCGGCCCGTCTCTTGTGTCTCTTGTGTCTCCGGCGCGTGTCGTCGGGTGCGGGCGGGGTCAGTGACCCCACCGGTGACTCCACCTCCATGGCGGGTGACTCGTGCGCCGCCTCCCCGCCCTCCGCTCCCCCGCTACAAGCGACCAATCGTTATATAATACATCTGTTCTCTGTCTCTCTCTCTGTCTATCTGTCCCTCTCTCTCTCACCTGTCATCCGAGTCTATGTTCTCTGCCTCGGTGGGTATCTCCCTGGTGGCCTGTGCGCGCAGGTACCGCTCCCTGTCCCTGGCCAGCCTCTCCCTCCCCTCCCGCCGGTCGTCCTCTCTCTGTCTCGCTCGGTCGTCCTCTCTCTGTCTCTGTTGGTGGTGCTCCAGCCTCGCGTCCACCAGTAGTCTCGGTGTGTACATCTCGTCTCTCTCAGCCCGAGCCCGTTCGTAGTCGCTCCTGGCCGCGGGGTCATCGTCCCCTCTGTCTCCGTATATCTTCTTCTTCAGTTCTTCTAGTTCCTGTTGTTCCTTGCTCCTCTCCCTCGCGTCAGCCTCAGCCTCTCGTACGCGGACTCCGAGACGTCTTTGGAGTTCCTTACCCCTGAAATAAACGACAAATTTACTAATGACTTCTAAATCACATTTATTAATGAATTTAATTTAACTCTTTGCCTCTAAGTGTTGTCAATTCAAAATCTCTAAATATATTTAAAAAACGATTAAGAACCCATGTATTAGATGATTTCACTGATCTTGTTATAATCACTACTGTTTATTATTTTTAATCTTAATTGTAGTGATAATTTTTAAAATTTCCTTTGTAAGCGAACTTTGTTCTTTTTGAAAATAAACTTCTTTAAACCTAAATGAACGAAGTCAATAAGAACTTTTAGTACTAACACTATTATTTGTATAACTTACATATGTGTGTGTCAACACAGACATGGTTGTGTCTCATTAATGCAATAATATTTTATCAGAACACTAAATATTTCAACCAGTACAGACAAGTATCTCTCCTGCCTACAGTCTCAGGGGACTGTAGTTCTCATTAACCTGGTTCTTAGTACTCCTTTTGTGTATGGGTTTGATACCATACACCATTTAGATTTGATAGTTTTATGGAGATCCGTTACTTTGTGAGTTTAGTTTTTAGATAATGAGAACGACTTGTTTATTTGAACGCTTTATTGATACTGACTAAATTATGACAATGCTTACATTTATATGTATTTGCTTATGAATGTGTACCTACAATGAAATTATGTTAATGTATGGGTGAACCCATACATTTTGTGTTCGTGACTCGCTACTCACTTGTAATACTTGTGGTCGTCTCTCTCGTCGTCGTAGTCCTCCAGGAACTGTTTGAGTCTCTTCGCCTCTCTCTCCCTCACCTCTTCTCTGCATCTCTCCCTCTCTTTCTCTCTCTCGTATTCCTTCGCCTTGCGTCTCTCCCGACTCTCCCAGTTACGTAACCTGAAAACGAACATTAAATATTTATATAGTGGAGCTAACTGGATGAAATTAAAACATAGTTTCTTGTGTTGTACACTGACACTATAAAGACATTATTCCATTCAACAAAGAATGATTTCTCACTCAGAGACGAGTGTTTGTGAGTTAGTGATGTACTGGGACTCTTGTTAACTTTAACACGAGTCCCAGTACTTATATTGTTATATACTTATATTGTTTCTCAACAAAAATATTAAATTTTTAGTATCTTTTGTGTTGTATAATATATATAAAAGAAAGAAAGAACATACATACAACAAATCCTAACAAATCTTTTATATCAGTTCTGGTCTACAGTGTATATACTGAAGTGTAATAAATATAGTGTGCATGCTATATTATAAAATTAAGTCTACAGTAAAGTCACCTTTGTAAAACATCTCATGTATACATCCAAATATGGTGGACCACCCATTGGCAAAAGCTTTCATTATGTTATGTTAAAATCTTCTAATATTATTAAATACGACTTAAAGCTACAAAGACGTTTCTTTTCAAACCCAGTAATTAACCACATTAGATCAGTCACCAACCTCTCCTGGTACGCGGCCTCCTTCTCCCTCGCCTTCTTCTCCAGTCTCTTCTTATCTCTGTTCTCCTCTTCTATCTCCTTCTCTCTCCGTCCGTCCGCCTCGCTCCGTCCTCGTGATCTCTCTCTATCTCGCTCCCTCTCTCTGGATCGTTCTCTTTCCCGTTCCCTCTCCCTCTCTCTGCACACATAATATCATTTGAATCAAACTATAAAACACGTAAATCATTATAACTAGTCACCTATATACATATATACATATTAGCTGACCCGGTAGACTTCATACTGCCTCAAATGTGAAATAAATAATTTCTTATTTATATTTTTGGAGTTTACCTTTAAGCCATAAATCTCCGTGTTTTGAAGTGCGACATAATGATTGACATATTAGTTACTTGTCAAATCTAATGTCAAAAAACAAACGTTTGTATCAACAACTACTAATAAATTAAAAAATAATTAAAAAAACATTATCCAGCGGACAAGATTGCGAATCTAAACCATTCCCAGATCCCCTTGAACACACACAAAAAAAATTACCAAAATTGGTCTAGTCGTTTGAGAGAAGTTCAGTGACATACACACTCACAGAAGAATTATACAGGGTGACTGGTGAATTACTATCAATATTTAAGGAGAATACTCGGTACATGATTCTCATTCCAATTATGTAAAAAAAAATAGGTACTTAATTTTTGACCAAATTTCCGTATAAATAAATAAAGTGTGGACACGTTCCAAGTGTTCCAAGTGTGGACGCATGCGGCGGCGTGCTGATACAACATCACGCCGCCGCAAGTGTGTGTGTGTGTGTGTGTATACCTAATCTGTAGGGTGTTCACACGATGCGTAATTAATTACATAACTTTTGGTTAACTTTACTTAGAAGTTTATTAATATTTATGTTATATTAATTTTTATTTTGTCATATATGATCGTCAAATATCACGTCCTAAGTATCGATAGTAATTCACCAGTCACCCTGTATATATAAAGATTATAACTTTTCACTTCATCGATACAAGTTTCATTAAACACATCAGTATATAACGCGTCATGTATATTAACACATCTTTTAACACTAGCCCCACCTCCCGTCTCTGCCTCGTCCTCCTTGTATCTCGTATCTCGTCCGTATGTACGGGTGTAGTATGAGTGAGAGCGCGCACATGTTGTGTCGTCAACTTGTTCTTAATATAATAAACGTCAGTAACATGTAGGTAACGTTTCTCTCGTATGGATTTAATTGAGCGATAAGGTTTTGTTACTGATATCGGTTTCAATGTACTACGTGCGACCCGCGGCTTGTTTTAATCAAAAATAAAATCGACGTGTGACTTATAGGAAATATATTTTTTCATCCTACTAATATTATAATTGCGAAAGTTTGTGTGTGTGTGTATGTCTGTTACTTCTTCACGCCCAAACGACTGAACTGATTTTGATAAAATTTTGTACACAGGAAGCTGACGTCCAGGAATAACACATAGGCTACTTTACATCCCGGAAATCCGCTGGTAACACCGCGGGACGCAGCTAGTATAATAATAACAATGAAGCAAGTTCTTAATGTTTGTTTCTGTGTCAAATGTCACAACATGGTCGTGTTAGTCGTATGACCTGTATCTATCACACCTATATTACTATAGCATTAATTCCTATCACATACAAGTGAAATATTTTCCATTGTATGTATTTATAACTATTAATCGATCTTTTTAAACCGTCGCTCGTATGACCCTAACGTCAGTTGTTCACTGTTCACTGTTCACCGATCAAAGCCAACTCATCACTCATAACTATGACTAAGCGACTGTTCGACATATTTTTATATTTTTTTCTATAAATAAACCTTAACCACAGACGGACCCATCATACAGGTCACTTGACCAACAAATCTTTTCTCTCTACTCACCTCTCCCTATCTCTTTCTCTCTCCCTCTCTCGTTGTTCTCTTTCTCTTTCCCGCTCGCGAATCTCTCTGTAAGAAATAAACTTATTACACGAATGCTTTTTTTAAGGCTTTTGTTTCATTGAAGTCGGATATTCACTTCGTTTAGTAACATGTACTACTAGTTCATACACCATACCTTTCTCGTTCCCGTTCTCTTTCCCTCTCCCTCTCTCTCTCTCGTTCTCTCTCCCTCTCCTTCTCTCTCTCCCTCTCTCTGTCCCGCTCCTCCCTCTCCCTCTCCCTCTCCCGTTCTTTTTCCCTCTCCTCGCGTCGATCCTTGCTTCTGTCAAAAAAAGGTCTTATATAATACACTTTCCATTTAAAAAATGTTAAGTAGTGTCTAAAAGAAAAAACATTATTTGTCCATCGATGAAATATAAAGAGTCTTAAAGTTATATTACACTGGTTATAAATCTTTCTATGAACAGTTAGTTACACATATTCTAATTCCTTATTCCATAAATTTCAATAAGTTTGAAAAACATGAAATATAAACAAAAAGTTATAGCATAAACTATTGTCAAGTCTTCTTCATCTCGTGTCTAACGCAGTGAGGGTAATAACTCCAGGTCTTGTAGATGTTCTGTTTGCATGTGTGTGTGTCCGTATGTCCATGTGTGTGTGTGTGTGTTATGTGCAGTAACTCGTGTGAGTTTCTTCAAGGTCGCTCTCTAGTCATCTGTTCGCGCATGTGTCATATCTCTGATCCAAACTCCTCACATACATTCAAGTACAAACTAAACACTTCTCTATTGATATACACACGTTACACTACACCCACCTGGAGTGACTCCTGCGCCGCCTGTCCTTATCCTTGTCCCTGTCTCTGTCCCGCTCCCTCTCTCTGTCTCTGTCCCTCTCCCTCTCCCTGTCTCTGTCCCTCTCTCTCTCTCGCTCGCGGTCCCTGTCCCTGTCTCTCTCCCGCTCCTTGTCTCTGTCTCGTTCCTTATCCTTGTCTCTGTCCCTCTCTCTATCTCTGTCTCTCTCCCCCTTGTCATCTTTGTCTCTTTTCCGTCGCACCACCACCTCGGCCTCCTCCTGCGCAAGTCAAACACACCTTCATACGGGCCGTCATTGAGGACGAATAGCACAAGGAATATAGGTAACAATTATAACTGATGAAAAGAAACATTTAAAGTTCTAAAGGATCGGCCGCTGGCACGAGCACGAGGTGTGTGTCTCAGTGACATGAATCGTTTGTTCTCATGCCCCAGCCTCTAGGGTGGCCACTAGACAACTGTTCACACATTATACTTGTACAATACATTATAGTTTGAACGCTGAGTCTTCGGCCGCTGCATTTACTGTATATGAGTCCCATCAGCTGAACAATTTTGATACAAAAGTCACCCGAAAACGACGAGTCGTTAAACAAATGCAGAGGCCGTCGAGCGATCGTAATAAAAATCGTGTCATCATACATCGCTGGTCCCGGAGACCGGCTTCACCTGCGGACTGACAGACCGACGAGCCGGCGACGACCGCGAGACGATCCCGCGACGACACGCACGACGAGACGACGCGCGCCGGGCGCCGGCCGACCGAGCTCTCGTTAACACGTGGCTTAAAGACTCGCGGTCACGGAATTTATTATTATATGTTCATAACAAAACATATCTGAGACTCGGAGTACGTTCATAGATGGTAGAACAACGAGAGGGCGGTCGGGAGGCGGGTCGCTCGTTCACAACTCACGAATATGAACTCGCGACGGAGGCAGCGTCCGACCACACTTATCACAATATATTAAAATATATTATGTGTCATAGAAGAACTGCATATAGCATACTGACATGTTTAATTTATCTCGCATTAAAATATTTTTAATAGTTCGTTTATCGATCGATAAGTCTGGATTGACGGCTCGCCAGGATGAAATTAAATAAATAAATAACAATGTGTCCTAAACGTGTCAACGTCGGATAAAGAGGGAACTAACAAAGAACCGACTTGAAGATAAGAGCATGGAAAGAATATAAAGAGTTATAATGAATATGACGTTCACGATATAATAATTAATGAGATACGATGTTCGTATCGTAGGAACAGAGGAAGTGAATGAAATATCACCCGTTTATTAATTATATAACATAAACGAAATATTCATTTTCGAAATAAGATGGAAAAAAAGCATAAATGAATAAATAATACATTAATGTGGAGGAAAAGAGAGTTATATAATATATATATAAATAAAATAAAAACGTACAGAAAACAAAACACATCTGTATATAAATATATGTTAAGATATTCCACGGCTCCGGGACGCGAGCGTCGCTGACGAACGGACGTTAGGTCACGTGCGGCAACGAGCTCTGTGGGTGATGAGTGATGGGTGATGAGGGTGATGGAGGGTGGAGGGTGGAGGGTGTTGTGGGTGTCGGAGCCGTCGGAGGTCACTCACCCTGTCGCGGCGCGGGCCCGGCGGCGAGCGGCACCTACCGCAAAGCGAACCTTAGCGACCACGTGACCCGCCCGTTGAACTGTTATTGACTCACTGTACGTGTGTGGCCACAGCTTAATACATCATGCTAACTTCACGTGTGTGTGTGTGTGAGTGTGTGTGTGTGTCTGTGTGTGTGTGTGTGTGTCAGTACTCCGGGCGGGCGCGTGTGTGTGTGCGTGTGTGTGTCTGTCTGTGTGTGTGCGTGTTACCTTCATACTCTCGCGGAACTTGCCGATCTCTCGATGTATCACGTCCCTCTTCTCCTCCGAGATGTCGGCCTCCTCCAACACGCGCGCCGTCTTAGAGATCGCCTCCTCTGAAAATATTAATGGTTTATTAATCCTCATCATTGTGTACAAAGTTAGTTGCGTGTGACCATGTATATGTGTGAGTGTGTCTGTATGTGTGTGTTTGTTCGTGTATTTTTCCTCTTTTTAATTGAACACAAACAACTCCATACCGACTAAAACGCCTGTTTTTCTTCCGTATTATTCTAATCTCTGTGTCTCCGAATAAACGCTAAAACCTTTCCTTGTGTGATGTATATTTATCATCTATCCTCGTAATGACCTGTTGTTGATATTTTGGAGAATTTAGATCGAGAACGAGCTGTTCGCGTCCCAGTGAGTCTTCGTAGTGAGCTTTTTCTGTTTTACAGACGGTCGTAATGTAGCCAACAGATGATTTATGTTTCGTATAATATTATCTCGTATGGTCGCTCTACACAGTGAACATCATTAAACGGGTCAATGTTCGTTCGTAAGACTCTCCGTCGTCATCCTCTATTTCATTCTATCGTCATCATAAACACCGCCGACACTTTTCTATCGTAATGTCGTGAGCTACATCTCTGAGTGTTATCGTTTCCAGCCATTCGATGCCATTAATGAGATCTTTCCACTTTTTTATGTTCATATGTATTTTCTTATATTAATTTCGACATGAATCCAAAATTGTAATCACATACGATTCCATTGAAAAATTTGTATATCTGGCAATGTTTTAGGGTAGTGGAGATATGTTTGGGCATGAAAACTAGGTGCAACAAAAAGTGATCTCTTTAAATGTTTATCAGTAACAAAAACAATGGGTCCAATTTAAGTGCCCTTCCATTTTTTAATTTTTTTTCCTCTGACACATCTTACCGTTAAGGGTAAGCTTTTGTTAGCACTTTGGTTATTTTGAATACTGTATGCCTACACTACTGTCAGCCATCATCACTTATCATCAATTTCTGCAAGAGATATCTTTTGACTCGCCAGTTTGCTTGTTTGAATTATGGTACATCTTTTGAAGTTTTAGTTTTCCAAGTATGATAGAGTTCTGTTAACTGGTACGTTTTAAGGAGTTTTAACTATATCTACGTTGTTTGGTATGTCCTGTATTTCCTCTGTCACCTGTCAAGCACGCGGTCATGATCTCTTTTTATGAGAGCATTTCTTGCATGAGGCCGCGATATATTTGTTTCATCGGTACACCGTCGGGAGTGTTTTACCCCATATATCTATTAAATCAGCTTGTTATTGAAGTTTAATTATCTTTTTTGTTTTGATGTCTAGCGTTGCAGATAATGTCTTTAGCTTTAACTTGGCTTTTTAATTTAATAATTTCCTTGCCTATCTGTTGCACAAAGGCGTTGCCAACTTTCATCATTTATTAAGCTTCTTCTATTTATTTTTTTATATTTTCTAACTAGCCGACGTCTGGTCGAAAATTATTGTAACGTACGAATAAACAAGGCTCGATCATATATAATAATTACAGTTACGCCCAGGATATATACAAGTAGATATTTCCCATTATAACCTACAGAACCTCGAGCTATGAATAACCCTGAGCTCGCATGGACGTCTGTTAACAAAACAAAGCTCATCGGTTTTAACTTTTTTACTAACAAAAATATACGTTCAGTGTAACAAGAAACCTTCACTAAAGGTCACTAGTCCTTGCACCGGTTTTACTTTCTTTGGCCGCCGACTCTGTGACAATACTATTATTACATTCGACATTGCCTTGTTAATTTTTATTTCTACACACCTCTATACATGTTTTCCCATCTACCCTTCAAGTGACCACTGGACAGTTCATTTCAATAACTCTTATACCCTTGAGGTTTATAAACGTTCACATACGATTGATATTTAATATACAGACACGCGATAAAATCTCAAGAGGTTTCCTATTCTATATTCTGTACCAGAATCCTCTCCTATACTGTGTTTTGTTACTCAACAAAGAAAAAAAGATATTCAAATGAGAGATTAAGTTTCCTCTGTACTCAGAGTACCTCAAAATAATTAAAAACTTTAGTTCTTAAACTGCTTCTTTTCAAAACCAACCCTTACAAACATATTTTACTATTCATACAATTAAACTACGGAATGCTTTTCTACCAAAGCTACGTATATCTATAACAGTTTGTATTGTAAAAAACTCGATCGAGACTTACTATCAAATAGAGCAGAATTAAATGGATGTTTGGATTAAATCTCGTCTGCCCGTGGTCACGGTTGCTGAAAAGTAGCCGAAACGTCGGGAGTATGTAGTTTGTAATCAAAAATAAAAACGCGAAGTAAAATCCGGAAATATTAGTTTCATTTAAATGGATGTTGGATGTTGTCTGTATTCATATCCGTATTATTAGTGTCATGTAGTATGTTTCTTATAATACTATCACTATCACCCTACTCCACGTGTGTGTGTGTGTGTGCCGTACCTTTCTGCAGCAGCTCGTAGTTGTTAATGTCGTCCTGGTAGTCCGTGTACAGCTGCTCCAGCCTCCTCTCCGCGGCCTCGTCCAAGGCTCTCTGCGCCGCGTCCAGGTACGACCCGTCCGGGGCTGACTCCTCTAGACGGGAACGTTGCTCCGCTACAACACACACACATATATATAACAACATATCATACAGACAATAGAAATTTGCAATCATGTAAACAAATGTGATCAGCTGATATTGGCAATGAGTAAGGTCAATAAATATTACAAGATCACTAACGATTTAAAAATTGTTTAATTTGTACTTTTTAGCACTATCTACATTTAATTCCATCTGCTAAATATTAAAAAAAAATGCAATTTTCATCACAGTCTGTTGATAACACTATAGTGTTTAGTATAATCAAATCATGGTCAGTTGCTTTGTTTACATGATTGCCAATTTTTATTGAAATAGACTATACATGTACAGGGTGACTGGTGAATTACTATCGATACTTGAGGACGTGATATTTGACGATTATACAGGGTGACTGGTGAATTACTATCAATATTTAAGGAGCATACTCGGTACATGATTCTCATTCGAATTATGTAAAAAAAATAGGTACTTAATTTTTGACCAAATTTCCGTATAAATAAATAAAGTGTAGACACGTTCCAAGTGTTCCAAGTGTGGACGCGTGCGGCGGCGTGCTGATACAACACTACGACGCCGCCGCGTCTGTGTGAGTGTGTGTGTATACCTAATCTGTAGGGTGTTCATACGATGCGTAATTAATTACACAACTTTTGGTTAACTTTACTTAGAAGTTTATTAATATTTATGTTATATTAATTTTTATTTTGTCATATATGATCGTCAAGTATCACGTCCTCAAGTATCGATAGTAATTCACCAGTCACCCTGTATATCTATGTAGTATGTTCATCTCACTCTTGTAGGTATCAACGAGCGCCTGCATCTTCCCGTCCGTCCGGGCCAGCAGCCTCCTCTCCGCCAGCGGTCTGTCGTGTAACAGTCTCACACACCTGAGCGCCGCCTCCGGGCCCAGGAACTCACAGAAGCCGAACGTACTGACTCGCTTCCAGCTGACCACCGGCCCGCAGGCCGCGAGCAGCGCGCGGATCATGGCGTCCGGGGCGCGGGACGAGATGTTGCCTGGAGATAGATAGAGATACATAGAGATGATGAGAGATCGATACACTCTTACTGAACACTCCTAGGAAATGTATATCACTAACAATTGTATCTGTTTCATTCAATATTCTAAGTAAATATTATATCTGCGATAAAGTCAACCTAAAATACTTTACCAAACCAAAGAACTTTACAAGAAAACTGATACACTATCTATTGCACAATTATACAAATACAAAACATGTATACTTATAAGAAAAATTCTCTCAGGATCAGGATATACACACACAAACTACTTTTGAGACTAAATCACATAAATACTATACACGAAATATACATAAATTACAAATACCTAAGTCTAGAACTAAACATTATGGTAACAAAACTATACAATTTGAGGGAGCGCTAATGTACAATAATCTACCAAAACAAATTTTTAACAAATATCTTTTTTGAAATTTAAGGCTAAATTAAAAACATACTGTCAAACTTTATAATATTTGAATGTTTGTATAATTTGTTAGGTCACCATTATTTTTTTAAATCAATCATTTATGCATTCAAAAGCATATTAAGTTCACATGATACTATAAATACACTTTAAAATTATTCATAAAGATGAACACTTTTCATAATTTAGAGTAGTTGATACAATATAACATGTTGCATGTACCTACTGTAGTACATACTACTATTATTACAATAGTTTATAATCACTTGTAATGTTTACTAGTTAAATGAACCTACAACACAGATGTAAGTATGCATCTGTTACATCTAATACTTTAAAAATTATTTATTTTGCTACTAAATATATAAGGTTTAATATTGATATTAGATTCAGTGTAATGTATACTTCTTGTGACCAAATGATTTCTCTATAATTAGAATTCATACATATCATACACATTGTTCTATATAATTATTTATTTATATAATTGTAGTAAATTCATTAGTAGTAGTATTATTAGTTTATTCAAAATATTTGCACACCAAATCAGCTGAATATATTGGACCACTGTAAATGTATGAAATACCTTTGTTAACCCATATTCGAGCAAATAAACTATTATTATTATTAAGACAGATGTCTATTCCTATAATATACCTATAAACACAGTAACTGGTGGTCCGTCATCCTTAGCTCCGTTGGTTGATCTCTGTCTCTGGAGAGTCTTCCCGGGGGCAGGAGGTTGTACGGGGGCTGGCAGTAAGGCCGAGCGACCACTACTGACGTTACTAGTGCCATACGCGCCCACCATTACCTGGAAATATACACATACATAACCATAACTGACTCATAAACATAATATGTGTAGTAGTATGTTTAATGTGATAATGTTTTGAATTGTTTTAACAGTAACACTAGATTAGAATGTCAGAAACCTCACATATGCTTGAAATGGAACACTCATAACAGTATTCATCAATTAATCATAGTCTTATTAAGAAACTCTTGCTTAAAGCGCTTCAAGCGGCGTTACATATACTTTTTAACGGGAATATTTTTCGTAATATATATAAGCGTTACCGCTAAGGTTAAAAGTTAAGCAATATAAAACAAGCCGTAGTAACATACGTGTGTTGCCATGGGCATTGTGACGACTCCTGGTGCTATGCCGTAAGGTACCATCGGAGGCCGAGGTGGAAAAGACATCGCACCTCGTTATATTCCAACCAAACTAGGAATCATCAAACCAAAATTTTTTTCACGATCTTTATATGACACACGCGTTTTACGGCTACTTTAAAGTAATAATTAACAAAATATATCTTTCAAACTTACAACACTTAACTAAATACTATACTAAATAAAAAGTAATTAATTATTAAAATATAAGAAAATAACGCTTTCTCCGACATAGACATCAGAATATCAAATCGGCCATGTTTTTATGCACATCACAGTTTAAAATCCACAGACTATATAGAACTTAATAATAACAGATAAAAATATTATTACTATTAATATTTAATAGTAATGCAGATAAAAAAGAAAGAATTTAGTAAAGCTTTATTTTCCTCCATACTACTTCACAAGGAATATTGGTTTATGGTTAAGTTCATAAATGCAGTTAAGTGAATTGTGACCACTTTTGTTTCATTAGGCTTTATAATCTGGCTATTTTCTCTGTTTTATTTCATATATAACTTTTGTATTCAATAATAGATAGCTAATCATTTAGAGATCTAAGCACCATATACTTAGACTGACTAATCAGCACCATAAAGTTTAATTACAATCAATGCAATTACAATAAATTACAATGAATGTAGTTTACAGTTGTTTTTGGTTTCATTCAGCCTTCCGACCATAGCTAAATAAACTAGAAAGTAATTCATTAATTATATTAAATGGACAATAATAAACAACATATGTGTGGATAAAACCTTCAAAGCTGGTTCAATACTAGCTGTACTGGACCAGCTTTAGTTCCACTATTTCTAATGTTGGTATATATTTCTTTAAAAAACAGATATTGTTTTTAAGTACTTACCTATTTATTAAAGCTACTGTCTTAGACCTTAATCGCCTAAAGTATTGAGTATACGTATTATATTTTTGAAAGCAACACGTTCAAAGTAGTTTTAAGACACCAATCATCAGGTGTTAAGATATAATTCCGTATATCCGGTCTTTACAACTAAACTACCTATCTGAATTGTCACTGATATCGTCAACCGTCACTATATTTGAATTATTTTTCCACATTCACGTGACATATAAGCCTCTAATATTCTTTGCTAACTTTAAGCAATCTAATTGTTAATTTATCAATCACATTCGTGAGCCATAAAATCGTTATATGGACTTAATATTGTTCTGTCAAAATCTTCTTTCAGAAAAAGTAATATCCTTCATTTTGTTACATATATCATAATTATTTCTCTACCATTGAAAATAGTTTCAATAAAACTCAGCTCTATTAATGTACATACGTATTTTATTTCAGTTTATTCAAAATATATTGGGCAACAGATAAATAATAGTTAAATAGCTTCCAAATGCTTACTTTTAGATATTGTGTTTTGAGTTATATCAGATTCAGAAACGTAATAAGTAGCTAAAATAGAGAAATGTTTTTTAAAACATTGTACATATATAAACAAAAATTACTATTTCTTACTCAAAACTTTATAGAAAGTGGCACCACTAGCATATATGTACATTTAAATGAGCTTTAGTTAAATTTCAACCCTTGTTATTTTGTTATTATAAAACAATTTGATTCACACACTAAGTATTTCTAAAGAATATATTTATTTTCATTTTTCCTTTGGGTGTGCAATATAAAGTAGTCTTCAATAAAACAGGTGAAAGGTTCCAAGGAAAAAGTATATTAAAGAAATAAAACTATGTATTTAAAAAATCAATGAAAACACATAATAAAAATATAATTTATTCACTTAAAATACATATTTACATACAAATGAGATAATATTTTGTTAAGACGATATCTTGTTAAGTGATACAATGCAATACATCTACTACAAGCAAAAATATTTGTGAAACAACAAATTGGATTTATAGAAAAGTTAAATAAATAAATCATTTCGATATTGACTAGAACAGTTATCAAGATATTATTATATGAATATTGTACATTAAATGTTTATATGCTAACAGCTCATGTATCACAGCTACTTCTCATTATATACACTGTATATATCTTTATATATATAAAAATTTCTTGTCACGTGTTTGTCCGCGATGGACTCCTAAACTACTAAACCGATTTTAAATTTGATTTGCATTCCGTGTGCATTTTGATCCAACTTGAAAGATAAGATAGCTTACATCTCAATTTATAGCACAATATTATTTTATTGCAAATTATTTGTCTATTAAAGAAAATTATTTGTCATTATTACAATTATCTGTTGACTGAGTTAAATATTCAATAGATGGCGCGATGTTAAAAATACAAACGTCATTTATGAGCGACTATTTAATAATAGTATAACCACCACGTGTTTCTGAGGCTAAGGTTTTACCTAAATTTATTTATTAAAAAAATGTAACAGATATTTCTTGATAATAGGGCGATACGAAGTTCTCCGGGTCTTCTAGTATAACATATAGAGTGCGCTCATTAACAACAAGCGCACTCTATATGTTAGCGAACCTTCTTCTCATCTCTCCGTGTTGTCTCTGGCTGCACATCTTGTCTATGTTCTGTGTCACTCGTCTTTGTATCTGTGCTCTCCTCTAGTTGAGCTTGTCTCTTTCTCCCGAATACTCTTTTTAAATATAACAATTATTAATAACAAGTATTGGTTATAGAATATATTATATAAAAATGTTTCAATAATTTTGAATCATTAATGATTGTTGATAGATTTTGTGTTTTATATAAACTTAATAAACACATACAAAAAATAAGTTTCTTAGTATTGAAGGAGAATAATAATAAAATGTTTTGTGAGAAAAGTCAGTATATGTATATATAAACATACAACTATTTAAATTCTGGATGGCATGTTGTTTGGCTACATTCTCTATCCTACCTAAATTAAGTAGATTAATATTGTTATCAATTTTGTTTCTTAGTTTTTAACTTTGTTTAAACCTAGTTTTTATTTTATTTTGATTTATCTTAGATTTATACCGTTTAGTCTGTATTTTAGTAAAAAAACAATGTTGTATACACATGTAAAGGCAGATCATACTGGATTGAATATTTAGTGCATTATAATATTGTGTTAGTTATTATGATAAGTTGATGGTGTATCTTAATAAATAAATAAATAAACGTGATAATGTAAGTAAATCTGGTAAGTGTTCAGTATATATATGTGTGTGTGTACCTGCCAGCTATATATCCCACTAGTGAGGAGGCGAGTGCAGCCGCGGCCCCCGCCTTGAGTCCTAACGCGAGCCCCACGGGTCCGCCGGCCGCCGCCCCCGCCACTGCTCCTACCACCCCGTATGTACCACAACGGAGTCTGTACACAGAACACCTCTCATTAATATACACCACTCATACAGTTACTCATATTATTATTTTTTATGTCAAAGCTGGCAAACGAGCAGACGGCCCACTTGATGGTAGGTGGTTACCGTCGCCCATGGACATCCGCAACATCTTCTTGCGGATGCGTTGCCAACCTTGTTTTTTAGGGATAGGGAGGGGTAGGAATAAGGAAGTGGCAGGAAAGGGTGGGAATAGGGAAAGGGCAACCGTCTCTCTTACTCATCAGACGAAACGCAGCCATAAAAGTCTACATCACGCCGATCTTCTGTGAGAGGGTGGGACTTCCCCGGTCGAGACAGCACATGTTCGAGCTGTAGTAACTTGACCACAGCCTGACTTTACCACCTCAAAAATCAGTATCAGTATATATTCAGTAGTATTCACCTCTCAGCGACTGCCAGGTGACGTCTCGCTGACTCAACGTTGTCAGAAGCTTCTGCGACATCTTTGGACACCTCATGCACCTTGTATACAACACATACAGAAGACATGACTTATATATATTTTTAATCTTTCTACTCATGTTGCTATATAAGTGTTAATGTATTTTTAAAACAAATATTGTAATTGTTGTGGCTACTTTAAAAAGCTACACATGTTAGCTATTTTCATTTAATTGTTTTACATTTTTCATTTAAACATGTAGTAGCTACTAGTGGTCCTTAAATAAAATAAATAAAACATGGTCAACAAACTCAGCTCCATGTTTTACCATAACAACTTTATATCGATGGCTCCTATGTATAAGGGCCAATGTGCAAAATGACATTTTTGGTAGTGGCGTTTTAAGTTTGATTAAATGTATCTTGTACATAAGACAACTGATGCTATTGAAACTTTTTATAGCAACTATATGAAAATGAAAATGAATGAAAATGAAAAAATGTTTATTAACAAAAAAAACACAACATAATACAAAGATATGGACGTCATTTAAGCTTCTTAAACTGTTTTGTCACCCTACTACTTTTTTTAACATATTCCTATATTTTTTTATAACATACATTATATAAGCCCTTATATGTTAAAGTGTGTAACTTATGTTTTTTACTCCAATGAGAACTAGCTTTCTTGTCTTTCAACAAATAAATACGCATTTTTTTAAATGGATGTTGTAGAATATAGTATAGTCCGTTAGACTTACGCTGAGCTTTGCATTTGTGTGAGTGAAAGTAAAAGTAAGACAAAAAACTTTTAGAATTATATTTTATTATATTTTAAATAGATACATAACATAAGTGCTATAAAATAAGCAAAACTTATAAAAGTTCAGATGTAAATATTATGAATATTGTGGAAAAAAATTATTGATTAATAAGAATTTTGTAAAAACTATACAAATTCTTATCCACTTGATATTGTGTTTTCAACATTTGATATTGCTACCAGTACAAAAGGGTAAGTGAGGAAGGTGCGGGGCGGAGAAAAAGCAGAATAAACCGGTTCAAAACTAGAAAAGAACGTGGCATTCAAAAATTTGACGTCATACCTACACTATCCGTGTGCACTCACACAAATGCAAAACTCAGCTTAAATCAAACTCACTATACTATGAAGTGTTTAAAGCCAAAAAAATGAAAATGGCTAAATTGCTACATTGAACCTTATACATAGGACCCATTGAATTCTTTATATTTCTCTCAGTACCTGTGTCTTGTGAGCGAGCGCGGCGGCCTGCACGGTCTGCCATGCGTCATGTAGCGCGCGCAGCTCGGCCTGCAGGTCGCCCCAACCGCGGAGCACCGCCTCCCGCTCACGGAGATACAGCTCCTTACACAATAACACATTCACAACACCTGACATCACACACCATCATACATCTACAACTAAAGAATCTAAAGTAGACAGAATGAGGAATGAAGTGTAAGGCTACTGTTACACACGCTTTAAATAAGCATGCTAAAATGTGTGCTTTTAAGTATGATCAATACAAGCATGCTTGGGAGCCGTTTATATTTGCGGGCATAGGTATGCTAGCATGCTTTATTTTAAGTAACACTTGGGCAAACACGCTAGTAAACAGCACGTGCTCAATTAAAGCATGCTTTTATGCTTGAAATAAACATGTGTAACAGTAGTCTAAATAATAATTAATTATTAAGAGGCGGGAAAGTGTCACCTGTCAACTTAATATAAACTAAACTGACAAGCGACATGTTTATATTATAAAAGATAAAAATATTAATGTCGAAAAGTATACTAATGTCTACTGTATGTCACCTGTTCATCTATTTGTAGTTGTATCTGTTCCGTGTTGTGTGTCGTGTCCGTGTGTGAGACTACTCCGACGGACTCAGTGGAGCCCCCGACCGCGGCCGGAGCCTCCGCCCCTCGCCTCATACACATCGGCGAAGACTCTGGAAACGTGTGACGTCATACACAAAATATACAACACACTACATAGAACCATGCAACGAACATTTAGTTATAATGATATGTATTAAATGCCCTGTTTAATATATTACGTGATGGAATCGAGACGAACTTATTAAGCTTCGATCTGTCGTTTTAATGTTTTAGTTGTGTTATCTAAGCGTAAACACCAATTCCTTTAAACTCATCTCACCGCGGTTCACGCGACCTGGTCGGCCTCTCACTAACGCTATACAACTCCGTTCAATCACACCTACAATACCAGTATAAAATGAGCTCATTGCACCTCACAATGCTGCTTACAAAATCTTAATTAACAAAATATAATACAGTAGGACCTCGATTATCCGGACTAATTGTTGTCGGTAGGCATCCGGATAATTGAAAGTCCGGATAATCCAATATATGAAGAAAAACGGGCTTTTTGCATATGTACATATTATGTAGTCTGTACCATACATATGTAATGTTAGGTGTTTTTTTAAAACAACAAATACATATGAGCGAAAATCAACGTTTATTAAGAAATTGGACATAATGTATGTTATAAGTGTTATAAGTGACATGGCGTTATGCAAGTTCTGACATGTTAATCTATCTATACATATAATAAAATTGTAGAAAAGTGCTGTCTGTACATTGAAAATAAAAATAAAAAAAATAACAGGGGTTATTGTTATGTCGATGTCGAACCCAAACATGTAATTAACTTTTTGTTTCTGTTTGTCTGTTCACGCTAATCTCAGAAACGGCTGATCCGAGTTGGATGCGGTTTTCACGAATATATTGTGGTATGCTTCAATTATGCTTTAGTGATTGTTTCATGTCAATCGGTTCATAAATAAAAAAGTTATGTCAAATTAAAGAATCACGTCGAACACTATTTTATGCTTAGACATACAAACTATGAATTTATACATACAATCTATTCATAATAAAAATAAGTATATATTTAAAAAAAAACGCTGATCATAGTCACGCGAACGAAGTCGCGAGGACAGCTAGTGTTAGAATAAACTCGTCGCGATTGGCAGTCCGGATAATCGCGAATTCGGATAACCGAGGTCCGGATAATCGGGGTCCTACTGTATTACATATATACATTTTCATTGATAAAACTAATTGAATAGGTAACAAACTTGAATAGGTAGGTATAAAATAGTCATATTGTAGTGTTACAAGCGGCGCCATCTACCTATGCTGTACCAATTACAAAATACTTTAATCCTTAGAATTATTTTTATTACTTATAATAACTAATTACAATACTGAACCAATGCAATTTTATAATGGCAACATTTAAGTATCAACTTGTATTTGAAACCATAAATACTAGCTTCAGCCTATTGTAGGACACTACTGGAACTAAAGCTGAATATTAATTAAAGATGTTGGAAGTAACAATGAAATATAACTGTAACTGTACCTCAAACACAAGTTATATTAATCTTTGTAAGGTCACTGTCAAATATAGGACATCTATTAATATATATTAAATGTGAACGGAACATAATCAAACTATCCTCTATCACAATATGTTTCAGAAGTCCTCGGCAAGTCCTAACACTAACCAAGTCACTTCCTTACCCAGATAGTCCATGATAGCCCTCAGCGTGAGGTCCCGTGACCTCTGCGTTCGTCCGTCGAACTCAGCCACATCTTCGGGTCTGACCTGTCTCCGGAGAGAGTCCAGCTCTCCAAGCAGAGTCCGCAGCTGACTCGCGACACGACGAGCGTGAGTCTGCTCTGACCTGACGCGGGCGTAGTCACACGCCTCCTCATACTTAAAATATATAAAAAAAATATATTATGTATTAATTATACTTGCTGGGTGTTGTTAAAATAATAGTATGATAATGAGATCTAAGACATCTCATCTGTCTGTGATCATGATTGCTGAAAAGTAGCCGATACGTCGGGAGTATGTAGTTTTGTATAAAAATAAAGTCGCATAGTATATTCCGAAAAATATTAGTTTCATTTAAATTAAAATAATAATATGATGTCAAGTGTAATATTGTAGGGACACATGACAAATGTAATATATTTTTATTGAATCCTACAACAATAAGACATTATATCAGTCAGAAAAAAAAAGCACTTAAAATATAAGATACAGTAGGACCCCGATTATCTGGACCTCGGTTATCCGAATTCGCGATTATCCGGACTGCCAAACGCGACGAGTTTATTCTAACACTAGCTGTGCCCGCGACTTCGTTCGCGTGGAATAGTGACTATGAGCAGCGTTTTTTTGACATAACTTTTTTATTTATGAACCGATTGACATGAAACAAACACTAAAGCATAACTGAAGCATACCACAATATATTCGTGAAAACCGCATCGAACTTGGATCAGCCGTTTCTGAGATTAGCGTGAACAGACAAACAGACAAAAAAAAAGTTAATTACATTTTTGGGTTCGACATTGACATAACAATAACCCCTGCTATTTTTTTTATTTTTATTTTCATTGTACAGACAGCACTTTTCTACAATTTTATTATATGTATAGATTAACATGTCAGAACTTGCATAACGCCACGCCACTTCTAAACACTTATACGTACATTATGTACAATTTCTTAATAAACATTGATTTTCGCTCATATGTATTTGTTGTTTTAAATAAACACCTAACATTACATATGTATGGTACAGACTACACATGTACATATGCAAAAAGGCCGTTTTTCTTCATATATTGGATTATCCGGACTTTCAATTATCCGGATGCCTACCGACAACAATTAGTATGGATAATCGAGGTCCTACTGTATATAATTTTTAGTCCATTACTGTCAGCAATGTTGTTTCTTTCTGAAATATCAATGTATTCATTGTCATTTAATGATTATAATGTCAAGCATTAAGCAATTATGTTTACTTAATTTTGGGATAATTGACTTAATTTTTACATGGCTAAGATATTCACCCGACATGTCTAAAAACTATAGAAAAAAGTCGCGTTCAAAGGAAAAAACTGAATTGAAATTAATCCAACCATTCAAGAGCTACAATAACACATGGAGACACACAGTGATCAAAGTTAAAACATTCCTCTTTTGAGGGCTGTTAGAAAAAACTAAAATATAAGTTAAACCTCAGGAACAACTTGTTGATTCAATATAATTTATTTTATTAAAATCTTTTTTTAACAATCCTTAATTAATTAACATTATTTCATTTAAATTCTTCTTTCTAAAATTTAAATTCCTCTTTTCTTATAACTTTCTTTTAGGAGTTCTTAAACTAAAATAAGTTCATGAAAAAGATGTAACTTACTTAATTTTAGAGTAGGTTAAATCTTTAGTTGTTGTTATTTGTTAATTTCGTTGTAAAATAATATAATGTTTGAACAACCAGTTTTATCTTAAGTGTTCTACATAAAGCAACTAGAACTTTATTTAAAATAAATGTTCAGATAAGTACGCAACTGTTCTATCGTGGGTCTACTTTGAAATTTTCACAAATTATAATATTACTAGTTTGAAAATTCCTTGAACTAATAATAGACCTTCACTGACGTCAACATACGTCGTTCTATTACGCGCTATATATTCAAACGATACAAAATATATTTTTAAATATTCCTTTGTCTTAGTTACAGTTTTCTAATAATGTCCTAATACAAACCTTGATGATATTTGCTTTGTGTTGTCGAAGGAGGTTTAAATGATGTGGTATAGCCACTTCATTGAACTTTGTCAATGAAAGTTCCACTCTTTTCAGTGGTAATTTATTTCCTTCTTGCATTTTAACTCACTATACTCAGTTTAATTTAACTCAACTATATCTTTTATCTCGTCTAAATAGTTTATTATTACAGATCCGTGTTACTGTCACTACATTGCTTATTACTGTTATGAAACATTTACTTGTCAAGTCTTTGTTTATGACATAAACTTTGTTATTTGACGTGAATCAAAATGTGTGCCCAGCTTTCTGAAATATATTAATAAATATTGAACATTTCAATTATTCTTTTAATGTACTTTAACAGATTTTGTGAAATACATTAATGTATTTCTCATACATTTTTTATTAAAATATTACTGTGGTTTTATTTTAGCTTGGAATTTTTTATTGCACATATTTCACATTATTATACTATAAATAAACTTTTCCTTCATATCTTTTCTAGAATTAATTAACAAACAATAATTAGATTGTAATGAAGTAAAAAAGTCAAAAGAATATGAAATGCTTGCTACTGTTGATATATATTGGCTCCATAAAAAATATTGCAACTGAATACAATTTTATTCACTTTTACTCAAAGTAAAATATCAATTTATTAACATGTACTTTTTTTAAATTATAACACAATATATTGGTTAAATATGTATAGTATGAAATGTCAATATTCACAGATAAATAATAAAGTAGTATTTTTTGCTTTGTGAATCAAAGTGCTATTCTATAGTTCTAGTATTATTCGGCTGACTTAAATACAAGTTTTAAGAAATATTACTGTTTCTTGAGAACAAACAGAATTCGGTGAATACAGTGAAGAATTTATAGTTGTGATTAAATATTGTTTATAAAAATTAAGGGAGAAACAAAAAATATTAGTTAAGATGGATGTCGATACGGGTGAGCGTTGAATAATAAAATAATAATAACCTACAAAGTTTATGCTTCGTAAACTTAGGATAAAATGGTTTTTTAATATCTAGAATATTACATTTTTAATACTTAATATCCACATTACATAATTTGATGTTTGGTGCAATATTCAGAATCAATAGTATGGTCAAACAGGTTGCTTTTATTTTTTACAAAAATTGCAGCATTTAAGGGGAGAATTTAATTGAATTTGTATACTTACGAAATTGTAATTTTATAAGGAACCAATAATTATTAATCATTAAAATGATTGCCGTAATATAGAGTAAACATTTTATCTTTACCCTCTGAATTTTAATTTTAGAGAAATGATTGTTTATTCTTTATTTTATTTGTTTGTGTTTAGCGTAAACCATCTTTAACTAAGTTTTACATTAACATACTCCAAGTATGTTTGATGAATGTTTATCAATAAAGTTTACAGTCACTGTGTGTGTCTTATTAAAACACAAGTGACCCAATCAAATCAACATTATACTCTTACATATCTCCTATTATGTTTTTTTTATCACTAATAATAACTAGTCCAACAGTTTAATATTATTATGTCAGTTCTGTGATAGTTTTTTTTTCTATATTTCAGATGGGAGGAGGTCCCGGTCTCGCAGTAAATCTGTAAGCATTTATTTATTTGTATATTCAATGTTAGCAATGTGTACATGCAACATAATAATATCTACAATATAAGCATATTGATTTTATAAGGAGTGAAACTAATATTTTTGGAACACTTTGCATATATTAGTCAGATAGGGGTTCCTTAAACCTACACCTGGGGCGCTAGTCCCAATCACTGTTGAAGCTCCTCTGTTGACCCGACACATGCACCGTGAATACATGGAATGATAAGAGATTTTGTCTCATTATTAAAAACGATGTACTGGTTTAGTTACTTTGCAGCAACAATAACCTTGTTTGTCTGTTATCCAAAAATATGAGTTTCATTTGAATACTCCCGAAACACTTAGGTCACATTACTATAAGGAGTGATTAATAAATGCTAAAAATAGGGAGCAGCTTCTCATCCCTCTACTAGTATAAAAAGTATATTCTTTATTAGTAATTTTTTTTTTGCATCTGTTAGTGAAATCAATATTAATTATGTACTTGAGTATATATTTGGGCATTCATTCATATATATTTAGCAACAGATTATTTTTTCAATGAAATATATATATCATTCGGTAAATAGATGGTTGAAGGTTGATCAAACAGGGGGAGACATAGGCATTTTTATGAGGAATTTGTTCTTAAATAGAGTGACATAAAATATTATATAAATATGCATAATATGCTTTGTCTTTAATAATAATAATAATAATAAAGCCCTTTATTTCCGAATTTTTACAATTTACAAAAATTACTTTTGAGGTAGATAAAAATTTTATTAAATGATATCACGTAATTCGGTGTGCCTTACGGCAAAGGCCTCCTCCAACTCTTTCCAATGCAGCCTGTCTGTTGCTACTCTGGTCCAAAAGGGTCCTAGGGTCAATTTTATTTCATCTTCCCATCTTCTTACCTTGCCACCTCTGCTCCTAGCTCCATCTCTTGGGTACCAAACTGTTACCTGTTTGCTCCATTTTTCTGTTTTGCAGCGAAGCAAATGTCCAGTCCACCTCCATTTAAGTAGGTCAATTCGTGAGAGTATATCTGTTAGTTTGGTTTTTTGTCTTTAATAGTTTACTTCAAATGATATAATATATTGTTTATTGACTATGTTTCATTATCTGTTACCCTTTTAACAAAATCAAAAAACTTGAAGTAAGAATGTTTCAAATATGAATTAAAATTCTCCTCAGAATGAAAAATAATGCGTACCAATATGCTCCTTAATGTTTTCTTAGTGTCTATGATAAAAGATCTTTGTATACTTTTTGCCAGTATTCATGTCAGAATGTTTGACAGTTGTTGTGTGGGCGTCATTCATACCCTATATAGTTGTCATACAACTGGCTGTATGTATATCTCATCATTTCCCAGGTGGGGTCTGAGTCCAAGATGTCTGTCGATGGTTCTGTTCGCTCCAAGTCTTCCTCCCGGTCCCGCTCCAGGTCTCGCTCGTCCAGGTCCCGGTCGGGCTCCAGGTCTCCCAGCGGTTCCCGTAAGTCCCGCTCCCGAAGTAGTTCCCCAAAATCTCCCCGATCCAGAAGCGGATCGGCTAATTCAAATAGATCCCTGAGCGGATCGAATAAATCCAGATCTAGGAGCGGATCTCCTCGCAAATCCAAATCGAGGAGTCCTTCGGTCGCTTCCAAGGCTGAGTCTAGATCGAGGAGCGGATCGGCACACTCGAGGTCCCGGTCTAGGAGCGGATCTCCCGCCAAGTCTCGTTCACGCAGCGGATCCCCTGCTAAGTCTCGGTCGCGGAGTGTGTCGCGAGCCAAGTCTCGATCCCGGAGTCGGTCTGGGAGCGGCTCTCCGAGGAAGTCGAGGTCCAGGAGCGGAACTCCCAGGCATTCTAAATCCAAGAGTAGGTCGAGGTCAAGGAGTGTATCGAAACGATCTCGCTCGAACAGCGCGTCTCCAGAGAAGGCCAGGTCGAGAAGCGGATCCGTCAAGTCAGATGCAGCTCGAAAATCAAGATCTAGATCTAAGAGTCCTTCACCGAGCTCGGAGACTAAGAAAAGATCGAGGTCTCGCAGCGGATCACCTCCGAGGTCCCCGGACAATAAACAGAGGAATGAATCTGAACTAATGGAAGCCGAGGAGAAGGATAGCGACAGGCCGGGGTCGTCTGCTGGTGAGTGTGAACATTTAATGCGGTGTACTTTGTTATTATAATCACGTATATTACTCTAATATGCATTATATTGCTCCATCAGATGTGAGAGCCAGTCGTTCCCGCTCCCGGTCAGTCGGTCGTAAGTCTGGTTCCCGGTCTCGTTCCCGCTCCGGTTCCCGGTCCCGGTCTCGCTCCAGATCCAAGTCTCGATCACGTTCACGATCTGGCTCAGCGAAGTCAAGGTAAGGAGATATCCCTCATATACAGGGTGACTGGTGAATTACTATCAATACTTTAGGACGTGATATTTGACGATCATATATGACAAAATAAAAATTAATATAACATAAATATTAATAAACTTCTAAGTAAAGTTAACCAAAAGTTATGTAATTAATTACGCATCGTGTGAACACCCTACAGATTAGGTATACACACACACACACATACGCGTGTGGCGGCGTAGTGTTGTATCAGCACACCGCCGCACGCGTCCACACTTGGAACGTGCCCACGCTTTATTTATTTATACGGAAATTTGGTCAAAAATGAAGTACCTATTTTTTTTACATAATTCGAATGAGAATCATGTACCGAGTATGCTCCTTAAATATTGATAGTAATTCACCAGTCACCCTGTATATTTATTACGTGTTGTTAATGTTCGTGTCGCTGATGTTTCATGTTTCCACATGTTGTTTCCAGATCCCGATCTCGTTCAGGTTCTCGGTCGGGGTCCGGCTCGCCCTCTCATAAAGGTATATATATATCACTCGCCATCGAATTAATTCCGTTTTCATATTAATATCTATCACTAGTATTGTTTTTTATTTTTATTGATGTAGCGTATAATGTGTCCATAGAACACAAGAAACGTCGCACGGTCCGTCTGGCCTCGGATGACGAGAACGAGGGCGTGACCGAGGGGAGGGAGGAGGAGACGGTCGAGGGAGAGGGGGAGGAAGAGGAGGAGGAGGAGGGAGGTGGAGCGGGCAGGGAACAACACGGACTGTCAGACTTCGAGGCGATGATGCAGAGGAAGAGGGAGGAGCGGCGAGGAAGGAGGAGGAGGAGGGACATCGACATGATCAACGACAACGACGACCTGATAGCGGCGCTGCTGGCGGACATGCGGCGCGCGGCGGACGAGGACCGCGAGCTGAACCGGCGGAACCAGCCGGCCGTGAGGAAGGTGTCCATGCTGAAGAGGGCCGTGTCGCAGCTCATCAAGAGGGACCTGCAGCTGGCCTTCCTCGAGGCCAACGTGCTCAACGTGCTGTGCGACTGGCTCGCGCCCATGCCGAATAGAGCGCTGCCCTGCCTGCTCATCAGGGAGAGCGTGCTCAAACTACTCATGGACGTGAGGCTCGCTTGTATTACACTAACAAACAGAAGAGACTCATTATTATACTTTAATTACCATCACTTCATACAAGGAACGTTTAAGTACTTATCAAAAGGTTTTAGTTCAATCTCAGTGATCATGGACTGACATGATACTCTTGGTGTTTATCTATCACAGATACTTCTCGTTTTTCCCAACCTCAATATTAGTATATATTTAAATTCAAAACATAATTCTATCTTTAATGTACCGACTGTAAATGAATATAATTCTGTGGAGGTTTAGTGTCTGTTACTTAAGTCACAGACTGTTACTACAATAAGTCTTATAATGAAGTACTTTGAGAGAGAATTTCAGTACATATATACAGGGTGACTGGTGAATTACTATCAATATTTTAGGAGAATACTCGGTACATGATTCTCATTCGAATTATGTAAAAAAAATAGGTACTTAATTTTTGACCAAATTTTCGTATAAATAAATAAAGCGTGGACACGTTCCAAGTGTTCCAAGTGTGGAGGCGTGCTGATACAACACCACGCATCCGCGCGCGAATGTGTGTGTGTGTGTGTGTGTGTGTATACCTAATCTGTAGGGTGTTCACACGATGCGTAATTAATTACATAACTTTTGGTTAACTTTACTTAGAAGTTTATTAATATTTATGTTATATTAATTTTTATTTTGTCATATATGATCGTCAAATATCACGTCCTCAAGTATCGATAGTAATTCACCAGTCACCCTGTATATATGTATATATACTAGAAGACCCGGCGAATTTCGTATCGCCCTATAATCAAGAAATATCTGTTACATTTTTTTATTTATATTTTTACCTATTAAAGCCATAAATCTCCGTGTTTTGAAGTGCGACAGAATGATTGACATATTAGTTAGTTGTCAAATCTAATGTCAAAAAAACTTTTAAAAAATTAAAAATTTATTTAAAAAACATTGTCCAAAGGACGAAATTGTGAATCTAAACCATTCCCAAAACCCCTTGAACACACACAAAATTTTTTATCAAATTCAGTCGAGTCGTTTGAGAGAAGTTCAGTGACATACTCACTCACAGAAGAATTATATATATAAAGATGTACAAATATGTTTTCAGTTCCCGGCCATCGACAAGTCTCTTCTTAAACAGTCGGGTATCGGTAAGGCGGTGATGTACCTGTACAAACACCCCAAGGAGACTAAAGCGAACAAGGAGCGAGCTGGACGACTTATATCAGAGTGGGCCCGACCTATATTCAACCTGTCTACAGACTTTAGAGGTGAGGGAAACATGTTGTATACTTATACAACATGTAACGTAATTAACGCACACCCTCAAACACCCCAATTAGAATTTAATAATATAAACGCAAGGCATACACCAAATATTATTTATATGTGCGTTTGCATTTTTTATTTGTGAAATTAGTTATCCCAATTTCGTGCAAATAATATGGTCAGCTATTCACCAACACTCCGCTGCACACGCACACACAGAATATTAACAATAATTTAAAGATCATAAACAAACTTGCAGTTTAATTTGCACTCGCACGGCGTTGTCGTTTTAAAACATTTTCAAAATGTCCACCGCCTTGTTCAATCCACTTTGATGACCGTTTTCGCAATTCTGGTTTTATTTTAGATAATACTGCAGTGTCACTTTTCACTTTTACAAAGGCGGTTATTATCTTATTTTTTAGTTCCTCGGCACTTGTTATCTCTGTGTTATAAACTAGCGATTTAATTCGGCCCCACAAAAAAAAGTCGAGTGGCGTGCGTAGATATTTGTGAAATACTATTTTAGCCTTGAAACAAGTATCAGTTTTCTTTAATTGAATGATGATTACTAATTTAATATTTCATTTTAAAAATCTTAACACTCCGACTTACGATCCATTTTCGTTTCAATGAAGTGTTTAGATAACTGTGTGTAGGATGACTGTAATTTACTTAGTTCTATCTAAATTTGAGAAAAAAAAATGACATACATAAAAAACTATAAAAATCGATCCAGATTCCGATTCTGAACAAACTACTTTCAGGGTGTGCGTTAATTATGTTACACGTTGTATATACAGTAATACCCCGCTTAACGCGACCCTCGACGCGCGACGCGAGCGAAAATTTATTCAGGTTGGGATATTGCAGAGTATAGACAATAATGATGACCGTGTCTTGAACGTGTGTCAAACGATTAAAAACAGTGTTTGGTGTTATGAACGTATTTTACAAGAACGTTAACAAAACGCTACCCAAAAGACAATACATGTATTTGTTCGTAAAAAATAGGAGTACCTATGTATTGTATAGTGTTCTTAGAATTAAAGTGATTGATTAAAATGATTTGTGTATTAAATTTTGACTGTGTTTAATCGTACACCTCGATATATACGAATTTCAGTTAACGCGATTTTCTTGGGAACGTATCCCTCGCGTAAAGCTGGTTATTACTGTACTTGTAACACTATCATTATAATTTACTGTCTTGTTACCACATCCCTGTACAATATGTTTGGGATAGTAAATAAATAATGTTTTGTAACTTTTAGCTTCCAAAGCTTTCAAAGACGAGTAAGTTATAATAAGATATGAAGCATCATTCAAATTCTGTAAACATTAATAATGGTTCCCTTATGCTTGTCATGTAGTACAGTAAGTAAAGTATAGTCCGTTAGACTTAAGCTGAGCTTTGCATTTGTGTGAGTGAAAGTAAAAATAGAGTCAGACAAAAAACTTTTAGAATTCAATTTTATCATATTTTAAATAGATATTATGTTTTAAATAGATAATAAGCAAAACTTGTAAAAGGCCAGATGGAAGTATTATGAATATTATGGAAAAAAATATTAATACTTAAAAATTTTGAAAAAACTATACAAATTCTTCTTCATTTGACATTGCGTTTTCAACATTTGATTTTGCTACCAGTACAAAGGGTGAAATGTGGAAGGTGCGGGGCGGAGTAAAAGCTGAATAAACCGGTTCAAACTAGAAAAGAACGTTTCATTCAAAAATTTAACATCACACCTACTAAATGCAAAGCTCAGCTTAAACCAAACGCATTATATATCTCTATGCTACGTCATCAAAATGCTAACAGATAACATGATAAACCGTCGAGGTTTTTTTAATAAAAATGTTGGTATATATCTATATTGTATTATGTATGTGTAGCTATGACACGCGAGGAGAGACAGGCGCGAGACGAGGCTATGTCCGGCAACAGGAGGAGGGAGGACGCGCCGAGCAGTAAGAGGACACGGACTGAGGAACCGGAGAGGTGAGGGAACATGACGAACAGACGGACACACACACACTCTGAGATTTACAGTCTACTCTAGACTGACTGTATGACTCATAAAGCTATCACTATTTATTATTTATTTATTTTTGTACCAACAAAGCATACAGTAAATTATTAATAATAGTTGTGTGCAATAGATAACTTATCTCTAACAAGAGATCTCTTCCAGAAATCCTGGTTAAATTGGAGACCATATTTTGCAATACAAATTTATAGTGTAGGTACAATATCAACAAACTATGTACTTATTATTATAAAATTGAAGTAGACTTTTATAAATATCATTATTAGTAAGTGTGTTGTATATTGTAGACCTGTCCGTCCCGGCGAGCCCGGCTGGGTGTCCCGCGCGCGCGTCCCCGCGCCCTCCAACAAGGACTACGTGGTGAGACCCAAGTCGACCTGCGACCTGGACATGACGCGCGTTAGTAAGAAGAAGATGACCAGGTATGAGAAACAGATGAAGAAGTTCCTCGAGCAGAAGAGAATGAAGGGGGGGACCAGGAGGGCCGTGGACATCTCCATAGAGGGACGGAAGATGGCGCTGTAGGGCACATGACGCGAACACACTGATATGAATGATGAGGACGTGATGTTGTGATGTTATCTAAGTTATTATTAAGAATAAATGACTGACTGTACGACGGTGTTTCACTTACCGCTGTAGAGGTCGGAGAGACAGTGATAAACAGAGATACATAAACAAGTCGACAAGTCCTTCTCTATAGAAACTTCCTAAAATGTATATGAGTGTGTGTGTGTAAATGTGGGCTGTACGAACTCATGCAAAAAAAAGTTATTTCAACCATTTCCTCTCGTTTGAAAATTTGTAAAATAATAGTCTTTGTAGTGCATATTTCGACAGAAATAAACAGTCAGCCGGCCGTAACTCGGTCCATAATCGATTTGGCGAGCGTGAAACATAAAAGTCATTCTTCACAAACTTTTCGACACTTCTTACAACTATTCATTAATGATCATATTTCTATAACAAGCGTCCTTATTCGCGTACCTAGTTTTATTTCCCACCTGTACTGTCCCGCCTAGAGCGCAGGGCCTCATCCCCATTCTGCTCCGCGCTTGTCGTTAGTCTACTTAGCGCATGCCGCCCCCTCTAGTGTGGTACGTGAGACAATGTATTCTTCTTCTTCCTAGCAATTTCGCAGCATTAGTCGGGGTCTGCCTTACATGTTGTGAATAGTTTTGGCTAATTGTTTTTACGAACGGCCACCTGCCTGACATCAACCCTCTGGGAATGCATTAATCAGTAATGTCTAAATACTCTTAGAAAGTACATATGACTCAGAAAAATCACATTGCATGCATGAGAGGTAGGCCTTTTAACCACTAGGTCACCACTGACTTACTGAGACAGTGTATTATATAAAATAATATATATGTTTTATATACCTATATATATTGTATCGATACATACACTACAATTATTATAATGTTAAGCCTATGTTAATTTTGTCCTGGAAACAATTAGATGTAAATTTGCATTTTGAAGATATAAAATGTTGCTACAATTATTTTATGGTATTATTAGAGTAGTCATAACAGTAATCCTCTGGGTTTTCTTCTATATCTATATATTAATAAAGAGGAAAGATTTGTTTGTTTGTTTGTTTATTTGTAATAAATAGGCTACGAAAGTGCTCGACCGATTTCAAAAATTCTTTCACTTTTGGAATGCTAAATTATTCCCGAGTAATATAGGCTATATTTGATATTAATAAAATTAGGGATCCTTACTAAAACTCCAATAATGTAACTCAAGGTGTAAAAAAAATACCTGAAAAATTCCCTACGTCGCGTGCGCTGCGAAAACTATTGATGATAGAACAAAATCTTTTACTACGACTTTGCAGAAATCATCATTATCTACAAAAAGTGTCGCGATAGCATATGTCTAAATATTATAGTTATGTCACAGTAAGCAGTTTTTTATTCTAAAAATTTGATTTATATGCCGCCGCTTGAAAAGGCTCTTTATTTGTACCTTGTTATTAATCCTTATCAAAATAAATTATTTTATATTCAAGGCGGCTTCAATACCTTTTTATAACGTTTTGAATTATTCAATTCGGAAATTTCATTCGGAAGATATCACGAGTTTAAAAATGCAAGTATTAGAAAAAAAGTCGCGTGGTTGCCGCTCACTCAGCTAGCCAGCATGCGATGTAGGCTACATGTAAGCATCACTGGGGTACGGGGGAGGAGTCAATCCCAACTAATATTATATATGCGAAAGTAACTCTGTCTGTCTGTCTGTCTGTTAAGCTTTCCCGCTTAAATCTCTCAACTGATTTTGATGCAATTTGCCACAGACAAACTTTAAACCCTGAGAAAAAACATAGGCTACATTTTATTGCGAAAAAGGGGTTGACTAGGTTGAAAAAGGGGTTGAAAGTTTGTATGGGATTTCTTAATTTTAAAAGATAAAACCATGAAACTTTACATTTAAGCATTTCATAAGATATATTTAAACATTTGTTCTAGGGTTTTTGAAATCCCGACCAGTGAGTGGGTGAAATAAGGGTTGAAAGTTTGAATGGGATTTCTCAATTTTAGAAGATAAAACCATGAAAATTTTTATTTAAGCATTTGATAGGATATATTTAAACATTTGTTCTAGCGTTTTTGAAATTTAAAATTATTAGTTATTTTTACCACCGTGGGGGTGAGATTCTACACACGGAATTCCCAAAATTCGAACGAAACGGAACGGGAACTACGAATCTAAACTTTTTGTAAACAAAATTTTAACCACTGAACCTAGGAACATCATATTAAGAAGTTTTGGGTGTATCAAGTTAAAAAAAATTGGCTATTGAAGTTCAAAATCCTTTTAACGAATAGGTACTCTGCATCGTCGCCGCACAGTGGGAAAGCACCATACAAGGCCGTCTCAAAACCCCTTCACATGAAAGTCGTTTTGCAGTAAAACTAATTAATTAATATAGTCTTATAAATAAGCCTTCTGTTCTATATTTTTTTAATTATTTATTGCAAACCATAATATACAGGGTGACTGGTGAATTACTATCAATATTTAAGGAGAATACTCAGTACATGATTCTCATTCGAATTATGTAAAAAAATAGGTACTTAATTTTTGACCAAATTTCCGTATAAATAAATAAAGTGTGGACACGTTCCAAGTGTGGACGCCGCCGCGCGTGTGTGTGTGTATGTATACCTAATCTGTAGGGTGTTCACACGATGCGTAATTAATTACACAATTTTTGGTTAACTTTACTTAGAAGTTTATTAATATTTATGTTATATTAATTTTTATTTCGTCATATATGATCGTCAAATATCACGTCGTCAAGTATCGATAGTAATTCACAAGTCAACCTGTATATTAAAAGGCATCAAAGGTGACTCATGTCCAATGGTGTTATTTTGGCCCAGTACATTACTACAATTTAACGCCACATTACTTGAAAGTATTACTAATATTATAAATGCGAAAGTAACTGTGTCTGTCTGTCTGTCTGTTACGCTTTCACGCCTAAACCACTGAACTGATTTTAATGAAATTTGGTTCAGAGATATAGTTGACCTTGAGAAAGAACATAGGATAGTTTTTATCCCAGACTTTTGAAATGTTCTCTTGGAAACGCGATATAACCGAACTCCACGCGGGCGAAGCCGCGGGCGGAAAGCTAGTTATTGTAGTAATTTGAGTAATCTATGGACGAGACGAATATTGAGTGACTGTCAAACCTAACTTTGAAGTCGGTAAAGTGTATAAGTTACTTTACCAATACACAGTACTCTGTTCATCAATGCCCGTAATTCACTTTGGATCATATTTGATTATAACAAAACACTGTCAAAGAGTTAAAGTCGTTCTCGTCGCTGGAGTTTTCATCGTTTTCATCGTTAAAACAGGAACACACCGATGACAAGCTGCCGGCCTCTCACCAAGATGTAGTCTTCTTCTTCAGTTAGTTTCGTTTCCAAGATGTAGTCACTCCCCGGCGCGCGCGATCCAAATGACCGATGCGGGGGGTGGAGTGATATATATAATTTCATTACACAGTCAACGCACAAAAGATGCCAATTTAACGCATGCGCAAAGATGCCGATTTAACGCATGCGCATTAAAGACGAAACATTACCGTATGTGCGGCGACCAATCAAAACGCCTGTTTTATTGTACTAGATATCCCTATTGGATATGATGATGATGATGACGACGATGATGACGATGAAAATTAGTATATAAGGACATTTGGTATATAAGGACATTTGGTATATAAGAACATTTGGTATATAAGGACATTTGGTATATAAGGACATTTGGTATATAAGGACAATTGCTATATATAAACATTTGGTATATAAGGGCATTTGGTATATAAGGACATTTTCTATATATATCTTATGCACACTGTAGTGGTACCAATATTGAAAAATAAAACAGGGAATGTATCTGATGTTGCCAATTATGGACCGCTCCCACTAGCCACGGTCATAGCTAAAGTTTTGGACAGGCTGCTTGATGGATATTTGGAGAGGCATATTAAACTTCACGATTCTCAATTTGGCTTTACACCCGGTTTTTCTACAGAGAGCGCCATCCTTTGCCTCAAGCAGACTGTACAGTACTATACAGCTAGAAAAACTCCTGTATATGCCTGTTTTTTGGATCTATCTAGGGCTTTTGATACTATAGACTATGATATACTATGGAATAAACTCAGGAAGGAGACAGATGTACCCTTCGAAGTTACATCTGTTTTGCAATATTGGTACCACAACCAACGCAATGTCGTGAAATGGGCAGGCGAGCACTCGGATATGTATGGGTTGGAGTGCGGTGTGAGACAAGGCGGCCTTACCTCGCCTCGCCTCTTTAACCTGTACATTAATGGGCTGCTTGCAGAGCTGGGTAATAGCGGTATCGGTTGTCACGTGGGGGGCGTCTGCGTAAATAACATCAGTTACGCTGACGATATGGTATTGATAAGTTCCTTAATCGGCGCGTTACGAAAATTATTAAGTTTATGTGAGAGGTATGCTGAGGCCCATGGACTGAGATACAACGCGAATAAAAGTGAACTCCTGGTGTTTAAAGCTGGTAAGAAAGTTTATGCTAATGTTCCAGTTTTATATCTTGGTGGCACTGCTTTAAGACGAGTTGAACGGTTCAAGTATCTGGGTCACTGGGTTTCAGACAACCTCAGCGATGACGAGGACTTGGAGCGAGAGCGCAGGGCGCTGGCCGTGCGCTGTAACATGCTGGCCCGAAGGTTTGCACGGTGTACTGAGAGTGTAAAATTAACTTTGTTCAAGGCATATTGCCAATCCTTTTACACCTGCAGCCTTTGGGTTAAGTATTCGCAGCGCGCGTACAGCGCTCTGCGAGTTCAGTACAACAATGCATTCAGAGTGCTGTTCGGATTGCCGCGTTATTGTAGCGCCTCCGAAATTTTTGCTGAGAGGCGTGTTTATAGCTTTTATGCTATTATTCGCAAGAGGAGTGCATCTGCGCTTCAGAGGTTGCGATCCAGTTCGAACGGCATTCTGTGTGCA